CTTATTGGGTACATATCCTAAAAGCATTTTGAAGATGTTCCAAATTCTAATCATCCCACAAGATAACAACTTTAAAACATTTACTACCCATGAGTGTTTTCCTTTTGACATAGACATTTTTCTGACTGCTTTAAAACTGAATACTTGAACTTCATAATCCTCTGATTAATTATAACGTTGGACTCAATTTTTTTCATAACTACTTATTTGCTATGTGACTGGAGGCCATTTGCTTAGTGTTTTTAGTCTCTGTTTCTCCAAGAACCATGAAACTACTAGAACCTATTTCTCAGACTTGTTTAGGGATATATAATAAATGTATAAAGCACATATATTTTCTATGCATAGTTTTACCTCATATGTACAACAGAAAAGTAAATGAGCCTAAGAATACTATAGAGAAGGGAACACTTCAGTTCCTGTCACACACTCCAAGTTATAATCTACAAGTTCATGGTGAGAGTTAGTTGATGACATTACAATTCATGACTATGTTACTCTCCCACTCACCCCTTTTGTCAAGGAGTTCCAGCAGACAACATTATATGGAAAAGAAACGGCTAGATGAGGGAAAATATTCACTTGCAGATGTGCTGGCTTCTCTGACTCATCATTCTGGTCAAGGATTGATTAAGAAAGTGTGATTGAAACCTCCAAAGCTTATGTGAGGATGTCTGCTTCCTATCTTCCGTTGAGTGAAGGGAACCATTTGGCTACACATTCTCAGTTGCTAGAGGAAACTAGAGCAGAGGACACGTGCTCCACGGAAGGAGATGGCTCTGTGGGAACCTGAGGTGAGAAAGAAAATGCTTTGCAGCTAATCCCCAGCCAGCCTTAAAGTACACTAAGCTATAAAATGAGACCCAGTGAGATGGTGCTGGCCTCTGATCAGAGAAGTAAGTTCCTCCTTCTCCCTGGGAGAGAGCAGAGGAATCATCATTTCTGTGGATCTCTTCTCCAAAATATGGAATTTTTTGAACTATGATTTGTAACAAATGGAAATATAGGACATCAAGATTCATCTGAATCTCAAGAGAAACAAGGAATCATTTTTTGTAGGTGAAACTAAATCTCATGCAATGTAGTTTCGACATGCCTATCCTGTTGTTTTGAAATTCAGAATTAGCTGATCATCCTCTAGTTTATTCAACAAATATGTTTTCAACAGCTTTGGAAGGTAAATTTGGTGATGATTAAATTGACACGGATGTAAAAAATGTCAGGGCAGGGACTGAAACCTTGAAACTGTTGACACTGGATTTTTGTTTAGTGTGGGAGTCTGTCCTGGGCATTACAATATAGTTAACAGTTTCTGCTCACCTGACACAGGTGGCAATCATCTTTCTTCCAAAACAACAACCAATTAGGTTTCTAGTCATTGCCAAGCAGGAAGAGAGTGGGTAGTTCCCTAGTTGAGAACTGCAGATTTACAGATTAAAAAAAAAAATTTTTTTAAAGCCACCTTGTTGGGGAAAAAAGCAGTGTTGTGGAGTATATCAAGATGGTAGACCAGAAGGTGGCACTTTTATCCAAATAATGCTGCAGGTCTTGCACTTAACCTCTGTTCCTCCCCCTCTCCAACCTTCTGGGCTCCCGCTTTGTTATGCTAGGACCTGTCTCTCGTCCTCTGCTTGAAAAGCCCAGTCCTGTGGTGTTTGGGATCAACAGGCACTATTCACCCCCTATTTAACTGTGATTTTTACACAGCTTAAATGAAGCTGTTATTTGACAATGCTTTTTCCCAGGTTTCTTCTTTGGGGGACACCCAACAGTTAAATCAAGTATTTACATTTTACCAGAAGCCATCAGTTTGTATGAGCTGGGAGAAGTTAGCATTTGGTGAGCAAAATTCCTATGGTCAAACAACTTTACAATTATACATCTTATTCTCTTCCTCTATATTGTAAATAGAGAAACTTGGTTTATTGGTTGATAAATTCTGAGCTCCAAATAGTTTTCTACCTCTGCACTGATCCTTGAAAGAAATGCTGATATGCCCTCACAAGTTGTTTCCTCTGTGTAGCTTTTCTGCCTGAATGTTTTTGTACTGCCTTGAAAAAGCTGAAGTGACTTTCGCTCTATTGACTTTGATTGTCCAGTGTTGATAATTAATTTTGTAGGCCTATCAGCTTATGTAGTAGGGAAATTTCATTAGCAAGTGAAATTTAACCTTGTTTCTTCATTGCTTTCCATATTTTGTTGGCTTTTCAGAAGTAATGGTTTTATAAAAACCCATTGAGGAAAGCAGAGACAATGTACCTATCCTGTTATATTGCTATGGGGGAAGACGATCTCCCTTCTCCATTCTCTGTAAAGGCTGTATTATTCTCAAATCTGTTTTATCCTGATATGCTTTTTTAAGTGAAAGTGCTCTGTTCCCTAAGCAGCCCCACCTTAAAGAACATTATCTTTATTTGTAGTCTCAGTGATTTGTTATTGCAGAAGATATCTAAGCCTTCTTGGATTCTGATATTTGTATTTAATCAGTAACCACATCCCTTCTTGATCTCTTCTGCCATTGTATTTTCCCAGATGCACCATGTTTTATTGTGTTAGAATTCAATTGAAACAGCCATTCTTGTTTGCAAAAAGTATGATGTTTTATTGTAGGTTATAAAGAAAAGAAATTTCACACTTTGCATAGCCAGTCCTTTCTGTTAAAGCACAGTGAATTCTGAAAGTGAAGAACAAGTTAGCAAACCGTGGAAAGCAAGACCATAGAAAGAGCTTGTAGAGTTCCAATCACATTATAACGTAATCTGGCAATGTTATGTGTCTAATTGACAAGCATTCAATTCACATCTAAAATGATTAATCTTTACATAATTTGAGGGTTGGTAGATTAAATCGAATAAGGGATGATGGTCAAAATATTTAACACGAATATGGAACAGCCTGAACAACTTGGCCAGATTCCATGTTACTGGAGATCCCACTTACAAGTCTATGTATTCCTTCCTTAGATACTAGACTGGATAGAAGGGTGGATGCTTGGACAGGGACCAGGGTGATTAGTGTATGGAGAATACACCGAGGGGGTTCAAGGTTTAAACTTTCTATGAGTTATTATTTCAGGAGTTCTAACAGTTATACCACTGTGCTATCAGAACTAATAAATGAGGAACCATGGGATAATACAGTATGCACAAAAAATTAGAATCTGAGTTAGAGTCTCTAACACTGCCGTGAACTCACTCTGTGATCTTGGCTGAGTCATTTCTTGGGGCCTTTTTTTTTTTTTTCTCTTACAAAATATGAGAATAGTGGCTAGGAAGAGCCCTAGGTTCTTTTCATGTTCTGAGAAATTTCCTATTTATTTTCTAATAATCTGTTCTATGTCTATAGTATGGAGCTGTCTGGAAAGCAGAAAGAATGAAGAGTTTCGTAATGGGTCGAGGGGCTGTGTGTTACTGTGTAGTTTGTGAGTAACACAACACTCATGCAGGAGTGAAGCTGGCATAAACCATGAATTCATTGTACTTTTGGGAACAAGTCGAATAACGGTTAAATATCTTTTAGGGGCAATGCAAAAATATTGTTTTGAAGATTAATAATTTTTGATGCTGGGGAATTTATTACATATTAGAAACATGTGTTACTTTACCACAGACATACAATAATGTTGCTCTTGCTTGAAATTACCTAAACCAGTTAAAAATAGGCATTTTGGACTTTTTTTTTCCCCTGGTAGTTTTCCCAAGTCACAAAATTTCTGTCAACTCTCCATTTGACTTTCTTGTTCTTTGCTTGGTTATTGAGATATGAGCCATTTTGTATCTGAGAAATACAACAATTGATCTCCATTGGAAAAGATATATACAAATGAATTAAACAGGGTATTTGCCTAGGAACTGTCGAATCATGCCTACTGCAAGTAAAGAGGACTCAAAGGAATGTCAACCAAATGGGATTTAAATTAAACAAATTGTTTTAATTTGTTTGCATTGATAATCACTCCAGTTTATATTAAATTTCTTAAAGTTGTAAGAATAAAGAAATGCTTAGCATAATTATGAATTAATTCAGTTATCTGAAAAAGAAAACAGTATGGTTTCCGAAGCACATTCTGCATTAGGAAACTCGGCTCTGACAAGTACCTGCATGTGCTCTTCTTTTGGGTGTCTATACAAATGATAGTTTGGTAAAATGAGCAGAATCTATTTTAATATCCTGTTGCTTATTGTACCTGACAAACAGAAACGAGGGAAATGAAGAATTGATTATCAGAGATCATTTTCTTGAAACTTGCATATAATTCCCCTTTATGGTTATTAGAATAAAGAGCCTTCTGTAGCAAATTAAGAATATGCATAACCTATTATGACATAGTCATAGATATATAATAATGCGGTCTAGAAGCATAGTACTCTCTGTGAAGTACACCATATTCAAAATTCACTGGAGATGTTTCAGAGACATCTGTTGTAATTACAGGAACATGGTTTATAATTCATTTAATTCCCTTTCCTACCTAAACTGTACATATAAGTGAATTTTAAGAGACTGTATAAATAAATTTTTAATTACAAAATGATGTTATACAATACATTATTAATAGCAACCAACAATACATAATGTTTATGCATGAGTCCATTAGAAAGATGAGCTACTGTATGTCAATTCTAAAAGAATGCACTAATTTGTCCTGAATTTGTGAATGAGGTTGGATTCCTGATGCAAGCTGATGAGTGAAGGAACAGAGTTGTTTAGCATGCTATTTTACAGTCAAGAATATTGACATTTAAGAGGTATTTCAGATTTGTTCAACACATGTGATCAAAAATTGTATTTTCAGTGAGCCATGCGGTTGTGAAATTTGGAATATGATCACATTGTTGACAATACTAGCTTTCTTAGACAGGTGCAGAATAAAATGGCCTAAAGCATCCAAGAAATGAGCATGGTCCTTGCATGTAGACATGTGGCAATTGTGGTCTTGTTGTAATGGATTTCCACACAGTGACCCAGAGGACTGTCGGAATGTTGGATACCTTGCTGCACTAGCGGTAGCAGATTTCTGAAATCTCCATGGCTAATTCCAGACAGTCACTGGTCTCATGACAAGATTCAAAAAGGCTGCAGTCCATGTCACAGTTGCAGTTACAATCATTTCGTGAATGGCTTTCATCCGAGGTGTGGTGGTATCTGTGAGAGGGGCAGCACAAGTTGGTACACACTGTTTCGCATGTACTGGGGAGCATCAGGAGACATTCCCAAAACTGGCAAAACAGACAGGTGAGGATCAGGGAGGCACACTCTTCTGTGTAAATAGGAAGAAAGAAAATTAACAGGAATGCACAAAATCACATCTGTATTTAAAAAAAAGAAAAAAAGAATCAGGGATGTATGTATCTTTGCAGCCAACTTTTAATTATTTATCCACATCCAGGGTAATGTACACCACTAATCACTCAAGCTCCCCTTCCCCCATACCAGGACTCACTCTACTTAAGTAATTGCTTTATTAACTTCCTGAGCATTTCCTATTGATTCTACATAATCTGGTTATTTAAAGTGCTGTCACTTTTCTAAACTCCTTTATTTACTCTGTCTGCAAAGGTGCTGGGAAGTCACATCATTAGCTGCCTATCTGGAAATCTTGCAACTGTCTGAAAAGCAGCAGGGCCTCCCCAAATGCAAGAGACTTCCGGAGCAATTAGAGTTAGGGACAAGGAGAAACTGTACAAATATCCTATTTCTCGTCAACGGCTTTGTTATTTGCTTGACATGAATTCCCATAAATCTGCCACACCCATATTCAGATGCAAGCAAAAAGCATATTTAAATACCTGAGAAAATGTTTTTTAAAATAATCACTGCTTTTTGAGTTGTGTTTTGTTTTTAATCTCTGTCTCCGTTTTTCTCCAGTTGTACAGAGCCTTGGTTTTTAAATTCAAGTTGTTTAAGTGAAATACATCATCATATGCCTAAAAGGTTTTAAATCTTATCAGTCCTCTTTAAGAAAGTTGGTTTAAATATTTGCTATGCAGACTTGTAAATATCTGGAAAGTATCTCTAAGGCATTGAAGGTAATTGGTAATTCTAGCCAAACAGCTGTGATGAGTTATAGATTATTATATTTTTTGTTTCCATAAAGGGAGTTAGTTAGAAGATGTAGCAGTTCTCTTGTTAAAATTATAACTTTTTCTTTTCAAGGTAAAGAAACCCGAGAAATGTGTGAGTGCTTTGTAAAAGGGTTAAGTATTCGTTTGGTATGTCATCTAATGGATTAAATTCAGCAATCTGAAGATTTTTGTTGGTTGAAAGTAACATTGTGGTGTGAATTGTTAAAAAAAATTCTTTTCCCTCCAGATGGGCCTAAAAACTGATTTAAAGTTTGTTTTTTTAAGAACCTGTTTTCTCCTCAGCAAGTAATGTGGCTAACTTTTTTTTCAGAATATATTCCATAGGGATTATATAGGAACACAGAGGAGCTTTTGCCCTCCGTGTCATATGCAATAGTAACTGCTCTTTAAGCCCCATTTATTTGCATCTAATGGTATTTTCCAAAATATTCCTTTTCTTTTCTTGCTCAGATTCTTGTTAGTATTTAAAATAAGGAAAAACTTGGAGAAAGAACAAGAATTTTAAAGAAAGCTGTTTCAATCTCTTATGAAAACACTACATAAAGTTCTTAAACGAGTCCTGAATATAGGTCAACAGTAATCTTCCTACCCTGTTCCTCCCTGTCACCCTCTCTTTCGTTCGTCCCAGTAAGATGGTAAAGAATCACACCATTACTTTTAAGATTACTCTAGCAGCCAGATATTGTTGCAGGTGCTGTGGCCATTACTCGACATTTATAGTGCAGGCAGCATACTCCATAATACCTCTATGGTGTACATATTCATCTCTTTGCCAGACTTGGTGTATTTTTATTCACTTACAGCCAGCTTCTAGCATATGGCCAACTCACTCATATCTTGTAAGTCACCACAAGCCACCCACAAAAATTCAGGAGTAAGTGGAGCACAAAGATTTTTATTTCATTTCTGCTTTTGCAAAGAAAGCATGCTGGTGATCAAAGGTACAGGGCATAGAATCTCATTGAGTTTACCAATACCAGGACTGCTACTTTGCCTCACCATGCCAAGTTCATAGTAGGAAAAAACTCGATAATCCTCTGGGCTGATGGCTAAAGAAACTCCCTTGGGCTTATGAGCATGTGAAAATGGTCCCATAGGATCCTGTCTTTTATATACGCAAGGCTGAGACTTGGTTTAGAGATTAGACACGAAGGCTGCAAGGTGACTGTAAGGATGGATACTGGCTTTTGTATTACAGCATGAGGAACCTGTTTCTAAAATGGCCTTGTAGTTAGTTTCCTGAGGGTAAATAACTCTTTGATTGAATTGCTCCTGCCAGTGCCACCTCAGTTTGGCAAGGGATTGCACTTTTGATATATACTATACATTTTATTACCAAAAGGAGTCTTGGCCTAATCCTTTGGCCAAATTGGCATTGGTTTCCTTCCACCTCCCTATTTTGCACTTGAGAATAGAGCCTTTTTTTTTTTTCGGTTACTAACTCAGCCCTTTTTTTTATTTGGTTATAAAAGGCAGAGCTTCTTGCCCAAGAAAAACACGGTAACATTAATGAATTGAAAACAGATTTTTCCAAACTTTCAAGTATGTTCCACACTTTTCCTAAAAGGCATGTTAAATAATTCTACACGAACAGACAAAACTGTTTTGCATATGGCCAATTTTTGTTTGTATAAAAGAAACATAAGCAGTTCAGGGGAGAACTTGCAACTGTTTGAAAAGAGTGCTCGACTTCCTTTCTCCTGAGTGAGTTTATTTTTGTGCGCCTGCACTACTTTCTGGGACCTTCATGTTTAATAAACACAATATTGAAAGACACATCTCATGCTGAAGACCTCTTCTTCCAGCAAATCCAAAAGAACATGCCATGAGCCAATTCTCTACGTCATGTGTCGTCTACAGTGCTTTCAGAACACCTCGCTTACCAGGCCATATGGCATTTTAGATCTTCCTCTTTTCCCATCCCACATACCTGTCCCACTTTCATTTTTCCTTAGGTTTGGCTACTGAGCATTCAAATTTGACAAAACTTGGGGAACCCTTTTCTTTATCAATCATACCCTCTCCTTGCAATTCATCATTGAGTTCTGCTGATTTTACCTATTTGTGTTAAACCCTGCAACCCTCTAGCCACATCCCAAACCGCTATCCACCCTGAACAGGTTAATAGGAATTACCTCCTAGCTGGGATCCAGTGCTTCCTTAGGAATCTACTTCAAAATCATCAGCTCCTGTGATATTTTGACTTGTGAGTTAGAGCAGCTCACTGGTGATGGCTCAAATCTTTGCCCTTGCTACAAGCTCTGCCAGGTTGATGCCTGTTTCTCTGACTTCTACACCTGCTTTATTTTTTACTGACCTGCACTCAGTAACACTGATTTCATCTCAATATTTTTTAGTGTATCTAACAAGCTGTGCCTTTTACTTATGTTCCACATCCTTGCCTCCTTGCTTGACCCAACTCCTATCCAAGCCTTTAGACTTCATTTGAAAGCAATGTCCTCTCTAAATTCCATCCTTGCTGAATCCCTCCCAGAGCTGTACTAAGGTGGGTGTCCTGCAGTCCTCCATACTTTTTCGTGCGTTTCACAGAATACAGTTCAGTATTATTTTTATCCCTCTTTTTTAGATGAGAGCACTGATTCAGAGTGCTAAGGGGCAAGCCCCAGAAAACACAGGAGAGTGTGGGCTGCAATTTGAATTTAGACTATGTTCTCCAGAGTGCCAAACTGTGGCCAGCTCTCTGTGACGCTCTCTGACCTTGTGAAATTTTAAGCACAGTACAAGATACTGCTTGATTATGGATGGGTTTGTCCAGTCAGTCTCTGCTCCTGTCCTCTGCTGTTGTGTTTTGCCAATGCTGGCAAAGTACATTCTCCATGTTCCCTTAGTGGCTTCTGGCTGGATTCGGCCAATAGAAGGCAGCAACAGGAAATAGGAAGATGCCAGGAAGGGAAAATCTAGAGGGTTTCCATCTCTGTCTCTAATCTATTGCTATTGGATTGGGTGGTGTCTAAGGCACTCACATCTTGTGGGTTTTAATTCTCTCTCTCTCTCTCTCTCTCTCTCTCTCTTTCTCTTTCTCTCTCTCTCTCTCTGAGAAGCCTTGGCTGATTATCATTCTATTTCTAGTTACTAATGATCTAATAGAGGTTAGTAACTAGTAACAGCTCATACCAGTACTAGCAATCCATAGGTGTTCTGGAGGGGCATTGGGGTGAGATAGTAAAACCCTCCTGTTGTTGCTAATGTGTAGGTTGTCTCACTCTACACTGGATGTTTTTTTCAGTTTTTCTGGTACTTTGGATAGTAAATCTCCTGTTTGAACTATCTGGCATCCTGGGACATACTCTAATCACTGCTGTCAGAAACCCTTTGTGACTTTACTGCCTTTTAAACTTGGAATCAAGAAGGTTTAAGATGGAATGGAGACCTGCAGGACTTACAGCCCAAAGTGGTGTTTGTGAGCAATAACCCCTGGCAAAAACCCTCTGAGGGTTGTTTCATTTTCTTTTTACACCTTTGGGGTACCTTTAGGGCATTGAGGCTGTAATACACAAAGTGATACTTTAATGACTGAAGAATTAATGCAGCTCCCAGAGATGTTAAAGTGTGCAACTGAAGATTGGCTAATGAAGAGGGAGGATCTGACTCTTTAGGAAGGATTATGTTTAATCATAATGGAAAGGTAATAATGAAAGGAGGTTCTACCAATATGCCCTATCTTAACCTCATGATCATGGTTCCATACTCCCAGAAATTCTGCACCTGGTTTTCAGCCTTGCCACCATCGTGCCCACAGTTAGGAGGGAGGGAGGAGAGGCAGCTTTGACAGTCAACTGTTGCTCCTAAAGCATTTCTCAACTCCAGGTAGCACTTGATGCTATTTTGGGGATCATTATCCAAAGTAGCAAGAATATGGTTCTTGTAAAAATGACAAAGGATTTTAAAAAGTTCCTATTCCTTCTCCCCCCAAACAAAGTAATATTGAAAACAAAGAGGCGAGAAGAACCTGTACAACATGTCAGAGAGATCGGGGTATCATGACTTCACTGATACACTGGCTTCCACCAATTCCTGAAAATTTTTGGACCCAAACTATAAAAATTGGTTTCCCACTCCCCCAACGTTAAGTGTATTTTTAAAAGAATATGTAGTGTGGAATATGAATAAAGTGTGACTGAATGCCTTTTTTTTTTTGGCTGGGGTATCATCCCTGATGTTATCAGTTTTAATAGCTACTTAAATATGTCAAGATCTATTTAAGTTCAGACAAGCACAACTAACATTCGAGTCAGTTCTTTAGAACTAGAATGACTAGATTTGGGTGATACTTAGTAAATTTGTGCTTATGTTTTTTTCTGAGCAAATGAACTGAAATAATTATAAAATTGAAACATTTTACAAGGTGACACCACTGCATTTAATTGTGTGAAATTTACAGTGTAGAAAATGTAATCATTTTATTCAGTAGTCCATGGTGTAATTAAGACTATTCTTTCGAGGTAGCTCATATTTATGATTTTTCTCTTCCACCTGGATGAGATGCCTTAGATTCAAAATTATATACATCAATTAGGTATCTGCTCAGGATTATTTTGAAGGGACCTGTTTTCTAATATTGTATGTATCCCTGATTTTCTTATACACGGGGATGCTGTTGTAAGCATAAGAATGTAGAAGCAGGAGCAAGTATACAGAGAGTTCTCTGGCCTTTCTCCATTTTATTCAAGAAAGGGACCACACACGATGAACCACAATTTAATAATAAAGTAATGTTGCAGCACATAGTGTGTGATGTGCAGTAAAGATCCTTTTAAATTCCCATCAGAGCACACACCATGAACTGTGTTAATGGATATAACACATTTTACAAAATCTGCATGTGTGAGGCTTTTCCATCCTGTTTTAAGTGGGGCAATGTATATAAATAATAGATATTAGCAATTAAGCATCCATTCCTACGCACTCATTTATACAGTTGAAAATAAATTAACCACAAACTACATGAAAGTGGATGCAATCTTCTCTTTTCCCTTCTGTTTTCCCTGCTGTTCCCAAAAGATATTTCTGTATTTATCTCAGTACGAACAATGACCCCAGCTCTCAATTTCTGCATTCTTAAATTAATTACTATCAAAAAATTCTCTAAAACGAGGCAAATTTTACTTAACTCTTCAGTTCCTTGATGTTTGCTGTTTAGGATAATGAGAGTTTCTTATCAATATTTGTGGATCTCTGTCTGGGTTTTTGATTTCTCTTTTATCCAGATATCAAATACTCCTACCTCATTGGGGCAGTTTTCACAGAGCTGGGTTCCTGCCTGTGCCATCAGTGTAAAAGTTGAATTTCTCAGATCAGAGTAGCCTTAAACCAGACCTTCAGAAGACAACGGAGTTAACCCCATGAATCTCCTTTGCTATTTGGAGCATGGAGCAATCTCTTGCTTTTCTGCATCATGCCTTTTTAAAAAAATACGAAGTATTTATTTGAAAATCAGAATGATTGAGAGAGAGAGAAAGAGTGGGAGGGTGCTCTTCTATCCACTGGTTCACTCCCCAACCAGGTCTGGTCTAGGCCAAAGCCAGAGCTTCAAACTCCATCTTGGTCTCCCATACGGATGTCAGGTATCCAAGAACTTGGACTGTCCTCTACTGCTTTTCCAGATGTTTTAGTAAGGGGCTGGATATAAAGCAGAGCAGTCAAGACTCAAATTGGTGTTCTGATGGCGCAAGCAGCAGGTTAACCAGCTGCACCACAATGCCAGCCCCTGTGTAATGTCTTGAGTGTCAGTTGTCATTTTAATGGAGTAGTTATTTTGGACTTTGCCTAGGAGTGCAAAGGTTCAGATAATGGGTTAGTTGGCCTGGCTCTTCTCCTAGGATCCCTGATACTGGAGAATCTGGAGGACACTGTGTTTTACTCTCTGGATGTACAAATTGGCACTTCCTATTCCCAATATCATTAGCCTGATATTTATGATGAGCAACATCTGTGTATCGAAGGTGCAGCCCAATGACATATTTTAGTATCAAAAAGCTTTTACAAAGAACCTGTTGCATTGCCTGTTTGCCTGACTGTCATTATCCTCTCCAAAGCTGTAGTTGAATGTAATCCTGGAATCAAGATCATAACCTGCTCATCTTGCAGTCACAGTGGGCCAAGGTGTGTTGCTGGGACTCTCAGGCTTCATAAAAGATGCAAGCATTGAGGTATAGTGATTAAGCTGCAGTTTGGGATGTCTGGGTTCTGCTTCTAATTCAGCTTCCTGCTAACGTGCACTCTAGAAGACAGCAAGTGATGGCTCAGATATTTGAGTCTATGTCTCATGTAGAAGACACCCAGACTGAACTCTGGGTTCTCAGCTTTGGTTAGTCCCGGCACTGGCTGTTGTAGGCTTTTGAGGAATGAGCCATCTATGGAAGATCAAAATTCTTTCTCCTTCTCCCTCCCTCCTCCCCTCCCTGTCTTGACCATGTGTGTGCATGTCTGCTAGACTGCCTTTTAAGTAAATACAATGAAGAAAAACAGAACTAGTTCTCAGAACTGGATAATTTAGGAATTTCATATAGTACTTCTGCATTCTGATTTTTCTTGATCAACTTGACGATCTGGCAGCTCTGGACATATTGCTTCTGGAGATGTGTAGAAGTGGTGAGCTTTGGATGAAATAGATGCTATTTAGCTGGCTATAGGCCTCACGAACTCCTGTTATGTACTTTGTCCAGCTTGCTTCTTTATTCACACTATCTTGACAATGGCAGAAAACCATGTCTGTAGTTTCTGATCTGAAGCATTCATGACAACATGTACACAAGATGCCACCAACATATCATTAGAGTTAGAAAACTTCCTTGTTCTTAATTCCTAAAACTATCATCATTTTAAAAGCTGAAATATAGTATTTATTTTGCACTAGCTTTGTCATAGGTGTTTTGTACATATTATTTCACTTGCTGCTCAGTAGCCCTACTAGGTAACTTCAGTAACTGAGATTCAGAGATGGTCAAGCAAAAGAAACTTGCTCTATATAGTTAATAAGATTCAAATGCAGGAGTTACACCATTACAATTACAAATATGTTATTGCACAAGGTTTATTTAATCTTTTTCCAAAAAATAAATATGAATTTAAATGTAGACTGTCAAAAATATCCTAGTATATTTTCCTTTGAGAAACTTGGCATTTCTTTAAATGCAAATGTAGACACTGAACTATTGAACACCATACAATTCCTAAATGGTTTATGTGTCTTGGAAAAGTCACTGCAAAGTTAACCTGAATCAAATTCTGTTTTTCTTAGTGTGACATCCAGCATGGACAATTTGACTGTTCTCATCATGGGGCACCAAATCCAGCTTGAAAATGGCTTTGCAAACAGAACATGCCTTTTATGTCATGTACAGATATAGTTTGGTATAGGTTCGAACTGATCGGAATGCCTAGCAGGTGATATCTATAGGCACCAACCTTTTTTTATAGTTTCTGCTATAAGAATTTTGAGACTTTATGGTACCTACATTCATATATTCACAGTATTTTAATACCATGATTCTTTGCCTCCTTGTATGCTCAAGTACAGGCTAAATAGTCCCATAGTCAAGCAGGAAAGCAAGTTTGCCATTTTTCTTACCCATTTCATAGCCTCCTAGCAAGAACGATTATGCTCTACCCTAGCTTATTTAAAACACATTGCCTCTTCTTTCCAGCTAAGAGAGCAAACAATCTGCCAGGCATCTCACAACTGCAAAGTGACCTTGACATGTGTCATTCACCAGGGTTTTCAAATTCAAGTCTTCCTATTTAATATTCATTAAGAGTCCCCCCCACCCCCAACAGCATATGTGATGAATTTACAGAGGCTGGGGGTTGGGTAGCTTTATTTAGAGGTGGGTTGAATTCTGAGAAACATACCATCAGTGTCTCTCTGATGAACTGAAGTATCAGTTTGGAGGTAGGAAAATTTCGTTTGGCATTCTTCAAGGGAGGACAGTGATGTGCTGGATTCTGACAGGTTTTTTTCATTGGGGGTTTCTTTGGCTGGTCCATCTGTGATATTGAATTCAGATACTGAATTTATAACGATGGCATTAATGGATTTCTCATCTGCATGCTTTTCATTTGCGAGTTGTGTATCTAGATTTAAAAAAAAAAGAAGAAGAAAGAAAACACACATAGAAAAAACCCACTGTAGTTTACATGGCCTAATGATTTAAGAATGGATATTTTCAGAATTACATTCTAAACATGTATAAGAAAACATTTTAATAAAAAGAATGGAGCATTAATGAGCAGTATAATTTTGAGGACAAGTGTAAAAACAGAGATTGCAAACATAAAATTTTACACACATTGCTTCATCTATCACATGAATTTCAATACTCATTTATACTATTTTTTTTTTCCCTAATGATGACTGAGAAGAATCAAGGAATTTTTTTCACTTGAAGCAACCGGTTCTCAAGAATGTGCAGTCAACCTGCTATCATGTATTATGGAACTAAGGGGCAGAAAAGAGGTCTTAAATGCTGGGCACTCCTACTGACTAATTTACATCATCTCAATCAAGTCTCTTTATTTCTTTGATTCTACAAACCCCAGTCTCTTTTCCTTTGTATAAGAAGAGCAGAGAGAATGAATAGTCTATAATCTCATTCCTAATTCTATCCTCAAAAACCCCAGTTGTTAACCATTCCTCTGCCTTGGCCTTTATTATGTCCCTAGTCAGGTGATAGTGGCTTTGGGGGATGCTCTTCTTGGGAACATTCTATTTTTAGATAATCTGACGGACAGTTATAAGAGAATTTCAGGTAAAGTCCTTGACCAATATTTGGTGTTCTGTTATTATAACCGGCACTGATTAGGCAGGACATTAGGTACAGTAGTGACAAGGACAGGTATGGCCCTTGGTTTTCAGTATCACACAAGTTACTCAAGGAGGAAATGCTTCCATTGTAGCGTAGAGAAATAGAGGCCTATCGTCAAGTTACCCTAGACATAGGGCAAGTCTGGGTGGCAGTACAGATCATTTGGACTTACCAATGCCATTAAGCCAATGCCTAAGATCAAAATGAGTTAATGGAAGAACGTATTTCAAAATATGCAGGCATGTTGATTCCCAGGAGACATCTTAACACCTAAACCAGCAACAGGACTGTTGACTTGTCAGCACTTTGGGGAGATGGTAAAGAAGCATTCTGGTGTCCCCCATTCCACCTGTTAGCCCAGTGCCTAGTTTATTCAATCTTGTTTATTGAGTTACTGAAAGTAATGTCACGGTTAACAGCCTGGTTGATATTACCATTCTTATGCAGCTCTGTGTAAAAAATACATTTTTTCATAGACCATTTTCATAATCCTTCCCAAAGTTGCTTCTTTGATAGGTGGAAAATCTACCTGGCTCTACCTCTAAGGACAACAGTTTCCAGACACTTCTGCAGAAAAGTTCTGAGAAACCTTAGAAAAATTTGGAATGTTTGAAAGTCTGGACACCCTCCTCCCAGTAGGCTTTTTATTAGATCACAATCCCTTGGGGACATTTTTAATCTTCCAGGTGATTCTGACTTGCAGATAATTTTGGGAACCATAGGGATTTCTGCTTTTGAGAGTGGAGGAAAGAGGCAGAACCTCCACTGATTTGTGCATTATTCAATTTCAAAAGCAAGCCATGAGTTGCCCACTCTCTCAAGGCTCTAAAATGGAACTGGAGCCAACAGATCATTATGGTTACATTAGGTTTGCTTTTGTTTGTTTGTTTGTGTTTGGTCACAGGGCCTGGAGAATGTTTAGCAGTATTCCTACCCTAGAAACACACTGGATGACTGGATGTTAATAACATCTGTCTCCCTAAGTAATGGTAATCGAAAGTTTATGCATGTATTGCCAGTTATTTGCTGTGAGGCAAAATCACTCAGATTGGAAACCACATACATATAGACACATAGGGTGCACACCCCCTCCACACACACACACACACACACACACACACACACACATTTTATTTCAGGCTCTGTGTTACTGTTGGTATACCGTACTGAACCTAAGCATCTCATAAACTTTTAGAAATAGATATTGGTAACCTTCTTGAACTTATGGAAAATATATGAATTAGTATTTTTAAGTAACAAATAAATGAGGTTAATCAATGCTTATTTATTTTAAAATATATTTTATTAGAAAGATTAACTAAGATCTCGCATTCACTGGTTGCTGACTCAAATGCTTCAGTAGACAAAGGAAGACCAGGCCAAAGTCAGGAGCCAGAACTCACTCCAGCATTTCTTCATGGATGGAAAGGGCCGAGCCATGTGAATCTGCTGTCACCCAGGGTGTGCATGAACAGGATGCTGGATGGAGAGCCAAGCCAGAACTCAAACCCAGGCACTGTGATATGGGATCCCAACTGGCTACTTGACTGTTGTGCTAAATACCCACTCATTGAGAGTTGCAAGTTGTCCAGGGCCCTCTTTTCAAGCAGTGATAAAACTAGAATGCAAACTAGAGGCTGATGGATTCCAAAAGCTTTGCTCTTGTTCTTGTCCTTTCACATAATACAACCTTCCCTCCCCGCTCCCTCCTTCCCCGCCCCGCCCCGCATCATTCTTAGCATTTATCTTGGTTTCCTAACTGCTGAGGCTGTACATCGGCAACATCCTCTCCACCCTAAATCCCGTGATGTTTCACAACCCCAAATTGAGCTTGGCAAATAATTTAGTTTTATAGACTTGCCTTTTCCTGAGTAGTCTTTGCAAAGCAAAACTACCTTCATGCATACTCAGGGAATCCTGCCTATTCATTTGCAGCTTCTTTGCACTGTACATTAGAGAGTAGTTCAGGAAGAGCTGATAGATAACGAAACCTTGATGAGTATAAAGATTACAACCGCTATTTACTTAACAGAATTAATTAACAATCAGTTCAAATTATCACACGTAGTCAGCCTGCATATAATTTAAATTGCTTCTGCACAAAGTAATTCAGTAACAGAAAAAGTTGGATAGAGGTTACTGGAATGTATGAACATGCAGAAAATACGGAATACAGCCAAGTGGTGTATGATTCTCTTTTTAATTTTGCAACAATTTTAAGTATAGCATTTGAATATAAGTGGTATGCTACATTAAGCAACCATTTGGAGCACACTAAGCTTTTGGTGAGAGATTTTTATGGAGAAGTTAAACTGCCATTCATAACGTTATTTTAATTCTATATCTCTGTTTATATTTTTATTTTTTCATTCCCCAGTGGAAACTATCTGTTGCTCATTAAAAAAAAAAAAAAAAAGCCATCTGACATACACACATTTCAAAAACCGGTCTGTTCAACAAGAATTCTGACATCTGAAGCGAGTCACAATTTTTGGGTGAATGTTACTGACATCTTACATCTTTTATAGATGGCATGCTAACAATAATTTTCCCAGATTCCTTCTTGTACAGCATTATTTGACATTGTATCCAAGTATTACAAAGTAGCATAAGCTAAAAGGAGACGCTGGTATCACATCTTCTGCAGAGAAACTATTTTGGAATTAAGCAAGAAACTCGTGAAACTATATTTGAGATGTTAAACTTAGTTCTTGACATTAAGTTAAAGAAAATAATTTTTTTTCAACAAGAAAAAAACTAAAATTAGGACAAAAATTAGAAGCTCATCTCTATTTCTTAGAAAAATTTAAAGCATATCTTAAAAACCAGTGAAATAGAAATCTCATGTTTAGGCTAGAAATAATTGTGAGAACCAATGGACATAAACTTGAATAACATGGCGATAGACAGTTAATTAATTTTTTATTACCATTGAGCAAATGTTATTAATTTAATTCAATTAACATTTATTGAGTGCCCACATGCAATAGATGAATCAATGTGACAAGAACCATTAATTTATTTACTTTAAGTTATTAAGGAAACATTTTAATGATTTCCATTTTTGCTCACTAAATATGACTATAACTTTTGCATTCATATATTTCCTATTTGAGTCTTTATAGATACAAATACTCAAATTATGAATAAGAAGCATCTCTTACTCCCTGCCTTCTTGAATGTTGTTGTTATGTTTGCCTTCTCTTCTTTCATTTTTGTTCTCTTTCTCTCCTCTTCCCTGCCTCCTTTAACTCCTCGCCCCTTCTTGCCCTCCTCACCCCTTTTTGTTTGCCTGTCCCTGATTTAGGTCTGTGGCTGACCTGCTTTGTTTCTATTATCAGTTTCTTTCTTGCCCATCTCCTTCAGTAAATTTATTCCTTAAGACTTTGTCCTTTTATCTCTTCTTCTTTCTCTTTAACATTGAAGGTCATGTTTATCTATATTCACAACTTCATTGTTCCTTTGTAATGCTGGTTCCTAAATCTCTATGTAGCCATGCAGACATTAACTGAGCATCTAGTATCTGCCCAGTCCTGTGTCACAAGGGAGATCAACACATAGTCGCAGTCCCTAAGAGCCCACTGTCATCACCCATTACAGTCTGAGAACTGTACCTGATTGTTTTGGTTTTTTGTCTGTGTTTGCTTTAAGGGGAAGGAAGGATTTTTCAGTCAAATCCTGTTAATGTGCTCCTCCTTTATCTTCCTGAGCTGGGTAACTCAAAAAAACTCATCATTTAGTTTCTCTCTTCATTACATTGTCACTTTCCTAGTTCCTACTCTTAAAATTGCTATTTGAGCTGTCCCCATCATTCCATCCGATTTTTATTTATTCCTTTTAAACATTTCTCAAGTCTAAATATGCTTTTCTATTTCCGTCACTACCAGTTAGGTTTAATCCTCCATGCACTCAAAATCTGGACTCTTTGAGTCATCACAGACCTTGACCACAATGACAACTCTTTCCAAGATATAATCTTGTTGTGAACCAATGTTTGAACAACATCCTTCTGATTATAATACTGATTAAAAAGTTAAAATGGAATCCATATATATGAATATCTCTCTCTCTCTCTCACCCACACAATTTAGTGGCTCATTGTTACCTTGCACATGTCAGTTATCAACTAACCTAATCCATTATATTACTGAGTTACCTTTTCAAGGCTGTAGCATGTTGTTAAGTTTTCCTGTGAGTGGTAAACTCCTAGAGGCTATGTGAAAATTTTTAGAAAAGCTTTTAAAGCATAGTGATTTTATTTTTAGTTCT